TTGTTTATCGTTCAGACGAGTGCTCACGTTCCGTCGCAATCTCTAAGAGGTACTCTCCATACAAGCGTATCGGGAAGTGCTTTGAATGATACAAAGAAAAATTCGTTAATATACGATCCATCTGACGAAAACGCCAATCCTCCGTTGCCATCAGCACGTCGTGCTCCGAACTCTGATCCGAATATGACCAATACTGTCAACACTCACGGTTCGTTGCTTCATCTTATTTATCCATTTGTTGTTATTATTTGTTACTTCAGCTTTGATCTCTTTCATTCGCCAGCTCTTCAGTCGGCAGTGTTCAATAAGGTTTGCTGAATGTCGTCCGTTCAGCATTCACTTGAGCATTCGTGTGCAGTTTTATTACCTCCGTAGATAGCTGCTGGTCGCACAGTTGCGATGTCGATCATAAACAACCCTGTTATGTTTTCGATGATTTGAAGTGCACATGATGGCTAAAGGCGAACACTGCACCCATTTGATTAGATGAATTTGTTCTTTGATGCAAATTCTTTGATGCTCGTGTATTTATTTGTACTTATTATCGATCCATTCAGTTGTTTTCGGACGAGGTGAGCTACTGATAATTCCTAGCAGTCCTCATCTTACGCTAAACTAAACTTGAATTCAGTGGCAATTCCATCTCGTTCATGGGCTGATATAGCGAAAAGCAGCCGAGTTACAACGACAGCAACGTGCAGTGCGGTGAATGGCAATGCCAGTGGTGCAGCGCTAACGTGCAAATCACGTGTAAATGACTCAACCCAAACGCAAACGTGCTCATCTGATGAATCCGTACCTCGTGAAATGACAAGCCCGTCATCGAGCAACGTATCCAATCCTGAACGAGCGTCTAGTGTTGATTCATCTGCTAATGGTCTGTTCGCTTTGGCTTACGTTCTTCGTAAATGATTCTTACATGATTGTGACTAACGCTTTGTTCTCATAATCGGCTTGAAATTGTTGGTGATTTTGAAGCATCTCAATGATATTCGTTCCATTTGAAATACATTAGTTGCATTAGGCGCATTATGTCTTTATGAACGTTTCCTGACAATTTGGTATGTCCTCTCCTTTTGAAACGTTGATCTTACTTGAGCATGAATCTTATAAACGTAAATCTATCTTTTCGAGATGAAATGTTCATAGGCATTGTCACTGTCCTAGTGAATCAATTGTTAAGGGAACTTAAATGATAACGTAGTAATCATTTCAAGATTCAACTGAAACAGCGAAGGAATCCGAATGTGCGGTGGCATCGTGTTCGATATCGAGCGATGCGGTAATAACACAAATCCCAGATAATGATGAAGGAATACGGCTGCAAGGCATTTCATTCTTTTATGACCCGAATGAACCGACGGCCAATTTCGATCAGAGGACTCCAATCGATTTCAGTGCTACTGACTTGGAAGATTGTTAGTTCTAATGGCGATTTTTTCTTCCATCTCTATTTCAAATTTGACTTGGCTGTGGTTTGTGAATATCCATTTTTGCAGTATTTCAACTGAATAAAACTATTTTCCGGCACACTTATGATGAATTTTCTGTGCATTATCATTACAAATGCTTTTATTTTCAGTTTCTACGAGCACTCCCATAGCTAAGTGCTCGCAAGAATCCGCCATATTCATCAGTGACGATCGCATTCCGAGCAATGATTCACCGAAGTCTGACAATCAAAATTCTGAAGTTTGTTTTTGATATCTTCTGGGTGATTCTGTCTTACCGTTCCCATCAGTTATCTGATGAATTACGTTCTGAGAGGAGATATTTTTGTGTTTGTGTTTATTGCTTACTCTTAAATGAAGTTAAAAATGAGCAGTGTTTCGTACGAATGATACTTTTCAGAAGGAAACGATTTGTGATAAAAAGGACGCGCCGCCAAATAGTGTTGTGCTGAATTTGGAAAATGGCAAAACAATCACTCTACCTGCGATGGGAACAAATGATTTGAGTAAAGTAGTGCTGGTTGAGGACAGGAAGCACGTTATGCTCGTTGAACAGTTAGCGCGTCACTGGAAAAATTTCGAACAATGTGGTCCAGGTATTGTTTTGACTGTTACGCGTGAAATAATTTGAATTGCATCGATTGAAAATGTGGTGCGGTGTCTGGCTATATTAGCTGGTGGCAAACTGAGAGATCAGGCGTGGTGTCGTTTGATTGTCCTTGTCGTTCACATTTTTGATGCCGTTGTTTTACGCGGAGAAGCTGAACTGTAAAACTTTATTGGAGTATTTTCAGCACCGATTCGGTACAAAGAGCTTATGAAGAAGAGGCCGAAAGCAACAAAAACGTCGACAAAGAATAATATAGCGAATGTAAAAACGGCGAAGTGTTGACATCTAAAGATGTCAGACACTGATAACGATAATCATTAGATGAGCAAGAGAAATGATCCATTGTTGGCTCGTTTTTCACCTTATCTCTGTCAAATCTCGCCACCTTATAATCATCATCGTTCACCATCGGTCTGTAATATCGTCAACCATATCATCATCTCGGGCATATAAGCATCACTGTTTATGCGATACTATCTGTGTGCTTAGTATTTGGTGTTATCCACCGAATCTTTCATTTTTAATATGCATTCTCTTTATTTACTTCATTCATTGTTTTCATTTATCGTTTTCCCCAAATATTCTGAAATGTACTGTTAAATAATATATTATATTGTATTATTATAATCATTGTTGCTATTTACTTATTTATATTGGCAGCAATCGTTTTGCAATAATTGCTTGTTCCGATTAATGCTTTTATTGATGCGCGAGTCTTACAATTAGTTCTGAGCTATTCGCTGTTCAATTAATATGCAAATTCTTTAATCGTCATCAACGGAATGAGTTGCTGTGTTCTCCTCGAATCCTCATTTTATTGGAATTGGTTGGTACATGCTCAATCCCGTCATCACACCTTGTTTGTTCTAAATTTTTACTGTAAATGTTTGGATCGGTTAACGTAGCACCAGACTGTCGTAGTGATGAAAGTGTGTAGATTCACTTGAATTTTCATTGCCTTTAACGGTTGTTGCATTGTTCGTCCGTTTTCGCAAGGATAATTCTCGGGAATGTTATTTTTTTAATCATTTGGCTAGTGAAGTCGTCAGAGATATATCAGTTGAAGTCTGTTTATGATGAAACTGAGATTGCGTGCAAATGATATCGTAGTGACTATTTGGGATTAGATTGTATGATAGTGATTTTGAGTTGGATTCGATATATGCTCATGAATAGGTGTTTGATTGAATAACTATGCTGTGCTTGTTTCTGATGAGTTGGTCCAGTTGGTCATGTCATTATTTCCTTGTCGTAAATCATTTTTATATGTATCCTTCATACAGTTATTTATTTTTGCTTAGATGCCTTTATGAGCAGTATGTCTTATTACTTTTATATTGCGAATCATCTCTTCTTGTTCTCAGTTCACATTTCGTGTTCTACATTTTTCAACTCTTTAAAGCAGAAATATTTTGAAACAAATGGTTCATTTGTTGGAATTCTTCTGGCGAGCTTAATTGATTCATTGTATAAGTTATCTCCTTTTGAGCTTGTTCCCTGAGAATCCTACCGCATGGTGATCCATCGCGAGGGAATGTTTTGCCCGGAGATGAATGGTGTTACCAAGTTTATTGGGGTTTCCTTTTATTATCGATCAGATTGATTATTTTATCGATTTCTGATTTAGAAATGTTGACATAAAAGTGAATTCTTACGAAAAGCTGCAAAAAATGAGAATTCAATTGTCGGAATCGGGTGAAGGTTGCTTGCTTCTCTTGACAGTCTTATTGATGTTTTGATGGGTGAGCGGAATTCGAGGGAATTCATTTCGTGACGCTCAGTTTGACATAACCACGCTCATTCAAGGTGACCGTGATCCTGGACGGCTTTTGTTTGGGAATTCTTGTTCCGCTGTTGTATTCAGTAGAGTGATAGTGTGTCTGCTAAGCAGCTTCAAGTTATTGCTGCGTTTTGTTGCGCTTATGCTCGCTCGATTTACTGACACTACAAAGATTGCAAATTTCCTGATTCTCAAGGATATGGCTAATAACAGTGCGATGAAGCAAATCAAGAAGTACGATTCAATCGAATATAAGTTTGGTTTTCAAATGAGTTGATTAAACTGCCGCAGTGATTTCATATGGCGCCGCAGGAAGTGACATGGGAATTTTTTCTCTCCGAAAACCTAAAATGTCATTTTTTTTCATTTTCTCCTGAATGCATTATTCTGCATTTTTGTGGATTGTGCAAGCATGCTTCGTCTGTGTCTCTAGTTATTTTCATCTTCTGTCAGTGACGTACCCATCCGAAAATTCATCACGCCCGTTTTCGTCTTTTCCTCTTGTCTTTTCCAGCTATTTTTTAAGCTCATGTTTTTTGCCAGCCGAAACATAACTCGAGATGCATACAGTGATGAACACATTTTCATTTCCTTCAGCTTTTGTTTTGTGGAAATCGAATGGGGATTCTACGAAGGGTTATTTTTTCAAAACATCAGCAGCAACAATAAGTTCTTTGTTGTAGCACTGAGTTGTTTGTTTCTCTCTCTTTCGATTGATTTCTCTTGTTCATTGTTCGGCGATGCTTTTGTTATGTTTCATTGCGCAATTGAACAACGTTCCGGTTTGAACGGTTTCATTTTATTCTCGTTGTGAGATTTCTTAACAGATTTATATTCCTTCCTTCTAATGCTTGATGCTTTCGTTTCATTTGTCAACCACACTTTATGACTGTTTACGAAACCACGCTCCTCGAAAATTCGCTTTGTGAGCGATTAATATTTCTTATCTGTTTTGTTTGTTATGTTATGTATTGTTAGAATAGAATAGGAGAGATCTGATTGAAAATCTATCGCAAATTTTTGAGTTTGTAATAATTTATTTTCTGTTGTTTTCAGTTTTAATGAATTTATTTACGCTTATTGTTTTCCTCTGATATATTTTATTGAATGGTTCAACGTTGCTATCCGAATGAGTGTTGTTATTCATTAGTTTGTCTGAATAATTTAATGTAATCATCTTTCAGTATTTCTGTTGCATGCAATTCTTTCATTTGGCGATTATGATATTTGCATGACGGTGTTTATCTATATATAAATTTGATGTTATGATATATTGCTGTTGTTTATTACTTTAGATTTTAGTTATAAATTGTTGTATTCGTTATTCCTTTTCCATTCAATTTATTCGTTTCGAACTATGGTCTAGTCTGCTTTTGAATGAATTAAAACGGCATATTATCTGAAAAAAAAAGGCATAAACCGAAAGAATGAGGTGAATATTGATGTCATGATTTTGTAGTGGGTTTTTTTGGGAAGGCAGTTCGTAAACGAGGAATCTGAAGTTGGTGATTTGTTGTCGGTGATAATTACGGTCTGCACTGTCTCATAGTGCTTCACATCGAACGCGTTGTTTTTGCGCTTTTTTGGTTTCAGTTTATTCTCAGTGAATAAGGTGAGGTAAAGCGATAAAGAACGTCTTCAGAGCGTTGACTTGAAGGTATCGTTTCAACCGAATGGTTATATATAGTTGGATGGTACATTTATCATTTCTACTCGTTTTTATGCGATGCTTCATTAGGTTATCGAACGTTTTTGTTGAGTATAATGATTCGTTTTATTCAAATATGATGTCTAAGTATTATATTCTTATATATAAAAGTTCAATGTATGGTTCTTTGCCATCTAATGCTTCCGTTTTATGGAGTATTATTCGTGTAGTGCATTTTGCATTTTTTTTGTCTGAAAACTGCTGATATAGGAACTAAATTTCAGCTTGCTTTACTTTATTGAAAATTGAATTGAATACGAGTGAAACGTTCGAATTGTGAGCAAAAACTTGTCCGTTGTGACGGTATTTCACAATACTGCTATTTTATAATAGAAGGAATTCCGTTGAGTGCGATTCGCATGAATTGCGGTCGTTCACATTTTATGTACGTTTAGGAGACATTCGAAATGTAGTTGAAGAATTAGTGCTCCATAAAAACTACTAAAATGAATGATATTATCAGTTTGGAGTTGAAGTCTCTTTGAAGGAATATGCTGATTTTGTTGTATTCAATGCATTGCTTGTATATGGAAGAGTGAAACGAATATATTTAATTGTATTGTTTTGTTTTGGTGTGCTGATTGCTGATTTGTGCATTATGAAGTTATCTTTT